AGGGGCCCTTTTCAGCCCATACTCTCTTGTGCTATTTGAATATTTTCCTTTTATAATAAAAACAAAGAAAGCAACAGAGGGGCGGAGGGCTGGGAGCAGAAGGCAGGCCCTGTGGAGGGGTCATCCTAAGTTCAACGCTGGATATGAAGTTGAGGCTCCGGCCATGGGGGGAGGTGACAGTTCCCTGAGTGAACAAAGCCATCTCCTCCAGAAAAAACCTGACCTGGACACGGGGATGACAAACGGCCCCTCTGCTACCCCCACAGAGCCAGGCTCACGGCTGTGATTCCTGGCTGAGGCTTAGTCTTCTCACAAAAGCTGCTCATGCTGGGGGACTGCGAGACAAAGAACCAAATCATTCTGAGACACTGCCTTGCTCAGGAGTGAGAAAACGCTATCTGAAGTCAGAGCACCTTTCTTTCTCAAGAGCTCCCACCCTGCCAAGGCACATATGTGCTATACTCAACAAACGCTGCTGGTTCCTGGCCAGGCTGGATCGCACTTTCTGGTGGACAAAGGCGTGCAGGAAGCAATGGAGAAAAGCCCTGTGTCTGTTCAGCCGAGCCCAGCTTTTGTACATCTCTACCAAACTAGCGCCTGCTGTTTGCTGTTACATAAAATCTGATTAGATCAGACTAGAAATGTGAGCCGAGCAAGGCAGAGCCGCCCAGATCTGAGTCCCTCCGCCTCTCCACCTGGGGAGAGAACACAGAGCTATTTCAGGTGGTGCTGGGCTTGAAATGCAATGTCCATAGGACTCAGGTGATGGGCCACACCGGCCCTCTACATGTCCATGGCCCTCTACACTTAATTTTACAGGTTTTCCGTTTTTTAAATAGAGACACAGGAACAGAGTGTGTTTCTTTACTCCAGAGCAGTGATTCTGAAGCTTTAGTTGCATCAGAACCACCTGGAGGGCTTATTGGCACACAGCTGGCCCCACTCCCAGAGTTGCCGATTCAGTAGGCCAGGGGCGTGGTCAGGGAATTTGTATTTCTAAGAGGCTCCCGGTTGCCTCTGCTTTGGGACCCACAGCTCTAAAGGAACCCACAGTGCAAACAGCGACACATGGCCATTTGATCCTTGACTTCAGGTAACAGGATGGGCTGAAGACTGCGGTAAACTAGAAAATGAGCATACGTATGCCAGGGATGCATGCGGTGCAGGAATAAATGGGGGCCCAGTGTTTCCAGGGCCCTTCCTTTTCTTGCTTTTGTTAAGAACAGCCAGAAATATAGATTTTTCTGTGAAATCTTACAATCTTTGGCAGTCATTGGCAACTGACTCTGCAGTTTTTCAAACATTGCACAGGCCAAACAAAACACATCTGCAGGCTGGGTTTCACCCTCTGGCTGCAGTTCTAGAATACAGATAAGGTTCCCATGGAAAAGAGGCAGGGTCCGAGATCTCCGAGCCAGAGAGAGCGTCTGCCCTTTGGGGAGGGACGTCAGCCTGGCCACACCTCTCCCAGCAAGGGCTCACAGAGGCCTGTGAGGGTCACATCAAGTCTCCCTGTCAGGTTCTCCTGGCTCTCTTCCCTCCCAGCCGCGTCTTACACTCCAGCCATGCCGAAGTCTGCAGACCGCTCCTCTCTCACCTCTGAAACTCCCTCCCAACCAGGCCTGAGCCTTTGTCTATGTGATTCCCTCTTATTTGAAAGCTCTTATTCTTTTCTCCACATCTGCCCTAATCAGTCCTTCAGGGCCCCTCTCAGCTGTCACCTCCTCTGGGGCTTTCCCTGCATTCCCACTCCCGGCTGCGTGCTCCTCAGCCTGCCGTGCTCCCATCATGCATTGGGCTGGAACGGCCTGAAGATGTGCCCGTCTCCTCCACTGGCCTGGGTGTCCTGAAGGCCTTGCTGCCTCTGCGGCCCCAGGGCCAAGCCCAGGTCCTGGTGTGGGACAGCTCCCGGCCTTGGCCTTTCTCTCAACCCTTTTCTGTTTGCCTGGCTACTTCCTGTCTATCTTTTAAGCCACAGTTCAGACTCCACTTCCTGTGGGAACCTTCCCCGGGCAGGGAGTGCTTCTCGGCCCGTGTCAGCACACTGCCAACTACGGCGTGCCTGGCTGCTTCAGTCCACCTCCTCCTCACACCGGACTCCGCGGGGGCAGGAAGCGTGTGGGATTTGTCTCACTGACACGGGGGGTGCAGATAGCGGAAGCACCGTGAGACGCTTGCGGGGTCCAGAGAGGACTGAAAACAATAGGTGAATGAAAGATCCCAAGTGAGAACGGGACTCCTGTAACATGCTGGCAACAAACTCCTCTGGGGCACTGCTCCTGGCCGGTGGGTGCCCCGGGTGAGGCAGAGGGGGTGCCAGTGAAAGTTACCTTTGGCAACCACCTTGTCCAGCATCCCCAGCAGCCCTCAGAGAGCTCAGTGGGTGGCCTCTGGGCACCCGGCTCCCCTCCACTCGCAAGTCTCAGGCCTGACAGTTGCTCTAATTCTATCATCCCAGCCCTATCCAGCCATGTCCTTCCCGAAGTCTAAAGCTGCACACCACCCAGCGGGCAGCCCAGCGAGAACGGCTTCTCTGCACTGCATGGGGCTAGAGGATGCTTGAGCAGAACAGAGGGGCTGTTCCACCTCCCAACAGGCCACAACAGGTGAGTGAAGGGCTGTCTACTACAGAGTGGGTATTCCTGAGTCCTGGGGCAGTGACAGGAACTGTGCGTCCTAGACCGGTTTCACTGACTTCGTCCAGTGGCTCGTCTCCACTGTCTGCTCAACTACTGCTTGACACTCGGTTGACACCGACACTGAATTGAGAAGAAAAGGCGGCCCTTGTCTTTTCCTTTGTATCCGAAACCCTCCCTTCCACCTCCCCGCTTTTATTTTACAATGAAGCACAGAAGTCACCTCTTTCAGAAATTCTTGTGGGATCCCCTTCTCTGGGTAGTCCCAATCCCCTCACTCCCACCCCTGGGCTTTTCTTTGCCAGACTGTGTTGTGAGTGTTGGTGTGCCTGCCTCCACTGCAAAGACTGCGTTCCTGGACATCAGGGCCTGTGACATGCTCTGCTGTCCTGTGCCTGCCATGGCGAGCAGCCCGTGAGGACAGCCGCTTGTTCAGTGCAGCGGTTAACTCAAACCCCCTCTCTGCACTGACTGGACCTCCCCAAGGTCACACAGCAGAAATCCTGCCGTGGTTTTCTTTTCTGTAAAATGAGGTTGGAAAGGGTGTTGTGAAGATTAAGTCAGTTAATGTAACGTTTGAGTAGCATCTGGCACAATAGTAAGCACTTGCTGAGTACTATATTTGCTAGTATTACTAGGTGATCAATCAATGTTTCATGTGTTATTGGATGAGGAAAGGAAGGAAAGAGTGAAGATCATTAGTACAAGCCAGCACCTTCCAAAGTTGTGTGGACCCAAAATGAAGTTTCAATGTGATCTGTGAGTTCCACAATAGTGAGTGGGGGTAAGGATTATTCTTAAGGAGCAAAGTTCTATGCGGTGTGCCAGGGAGCAGGTCTTGGGCAGTAATGAGAAAGGCAGATCCCATCTGAAGGTTTCCTTCCCTATTGTGAGTCTTTCCTGCAGATTAAGAGTCCTTGAGATTTTTAAAGGCGCAAGCTGACATTTCCCTACAACAATGGTGTTTTCTCCCATTAGTGATCCTTTCAAGGACACTCCCTGCTGACTATCCCTTCTTCCTCATAATTCCAAACAGCAGACTCAGATACCAGTCCTGACTGCCTTCAGATGAATAAACAAGGTGGGGGGATGAGTCATCCAGGCTCCAGACACCTATTCCCAGACACGGGCATCCCTTCAATTACAATCCTAACAGACCTCAGCTATCTTGCTTCTGCACAGACTACCAGCAGAGAAGCTGGCAGAGAGCAGGAGTGTGGGTTTCAACATCAGAAGGCCTTGGACTCAAGTCTGATCTCTTACAAGTCTCTTCCTCTCTCTGAGCCTCAGTCACTACATAGCGTGGGGTTACTTATCCCTCCCTCACTGTGCTGTGCTGTAAGATGACTAGCACGGTGCTGGACACATAGCAGGCCAGTGGTAAAGACCCTTGGTAGATTGTGGGAGGGGGTGGGTGAGGACCCCATCAATAAGCAAGGCGGCTTCTGGGATGAACATAAACCAGTTCTGAACCCAAGACTATAGAAGGGAGAACGAGAGTACCTTGACCTCTCAGCAACCAGAGAATGTTGACGGAGGCCTGGGGCTGGCCTTCTGGAGTCTGCTGTTGCAGTGCTAATCGGGGTGTCCTAGGTCAGGAGCTTCCCACCCTTGTGGGAGGGGAGCTCTTGGCACTTCCCCTTCCCCCATTGCTGTTTCCTCTGGCCTGGGCTGGAGGGGCACTGACTTACTGACTAGGTGTCAGCTGCAAAGTTCAAAGAATGCTCAGCAGGCATTAGATGACAGGGTGGGGCACGGGATGGCCAGAAGCCAAATCCCAGCTTTGGGGCAAGGGTGGGCAGATCAGAGGGCTTCCAGCAGAGATCAAGGTGCCCCCGGGCTTCCTGGAGTGACTTCACACTAGGTCATACAGAAAGTTTACACTTCAAAGGGGTTACCTGCGTTTCTTTTTTCTTTCCTTTCTTTGCTTTTTCTTTGCACCAGCCCAGAGTGAGCCAGAGAACAGCATCAACAGACTTGCTTTGACCTCCAGGTTCCCTAACTGTGCTACTCTGGACATGTTACTTCATCTCTTTGAGCCTGTTTCTTCATCTGTGAAATGGGCATATTCATATCTGCCTCAAAGGTTGTGTGAGGCTTAGGTGAAGTTATGTGCATAAAGCACCCGGCAGAGTGCCTGGACGCAGTGGAGACACAGCACATGGCAGCCTTCATAACCATCACCTTCCAGGGTGGAGAGAGCAGGATGCTTCATGAGTCAGTGCTGCCCACCGTGGGGGCTGGGAGTGGGAAGTGTTTTCAGACCTTCAGAGCACAAGGGCCCTTGCTCCCTCTCGGATGAACTAGCCCAGCCCTTGGTCAAGCCCCCCGGGCAGGAGACACCGGGTGTACGCGAATCCTCACCATGCACTTGCGGTCATCAATGCCTGTCAGATCCTCCTCAAACTCCTTCCCAACCTGGAAGTCCATGATGTAGTTCCTAAAAGTGCTCAGCGTGCGGATGATCATATGGTCACCGTCCTGCACGATCTCTTTGTCTGGCTTCAGCAAGTTGGCTATTTTGCGCAAGGCAACGTTGACGTCTGCGGGGGGGACGGGGGTTGCGGGTAGAGAGAGCGGCAGAATTGGCAGGAAGACTCACAGAACCGGTCCCAAGGTAGAGGAGCCCAGGAGCCCGCTCCGCCCGCGAACACTGTTAGGGTTTCCGCTGGCTTTGCGCTGTCTCAGCGCACAGCTTGCCTGTACCTCCCCCACCCCCAACAAAGTTTCCTGCTCTCATGTTAACCGTTTAAAAACAAAAACTAGTAAACCAAACCCAGATTTACTAATGGAATTACGCACGTCCAGGGCCAACGAGCAGACATTTGCCATCGGTTAACCTAGCAACCCCGAATTTTCCAATCCGCAACCTGCTGGCCGCCCTGGGAGCGGAGGACGCCTTTTCTGGCGTCCGGAAGCACCGAACAGCGGCTCGCCCTGGCGGCGGCAGGCGGGCGGCGACTCGGGAGGGCTCTGCGGAGCGGCCTGGAGCTGCTCCCCGCACCGGGCGCGCCAGGCGCGGCGGGCAGCGCTTACCGAGCGCGCGCAGGTACTCCTCGAAATTCTCGTTGGCCAGCATCTTCCAGTACCCAGTGAAGTCGACTGGCATTTCGGGGAGTGACTGGAGCCAGGTGGCCACGGAGCGGGCGCGACGGCTGGAGGCTCTGCCGGGACAGCGGCTAGCCGGTGCTACGCGCGTGGTGGGCGGCCCGGAAATGAGCGCCCTCCGGGGACAGGGGGCTCTGCGGGGCGGCGACAGCTGGATTCCGAGCGCGCACAAAGCCTGCTGGAGGATCCATTGTGGCCGTCGCTCCTCCCCTCCTAGCGAGGGCGGGCGTGGGGCTGGGACTGTCGAAGGGTCAGGTTTGTCCCGGCCGCGCCACCTTCGTTTCAGACGTTCAGTGCGTTTCCCCACAAAGGAAGAGGAGAGGAGGGAGAAGGGAGGGTTGCTTTGCTGGCCGAACTCTTCGGTTCCTCGGGATTTGCTTCAAACGCCATGAACTTCTCACACTCAGCAGTCTCCTGGGGGTTGCTGGCGTGATTAGGGAAAGAGGCCGCTTAGAGGTCTTTGTCTAAACGCCTTGCGCTGGTGTGGCTGGGGTCAGGAAAGCTGGGCAGTTCAACTAGGGGTGAGAAAAGTGGGGCACTGTCCACGTCTCTCCTGAAAATAAAGGTAAAGGATGCCAGGCGTGGTGGGGTGGCTCACGCATGTAATCCCAGCACTTTGGGAGGCCGAGGCGGGCAGATCACGAGGTCAGGAGTTCGAGGACCAGCCTGACCAACATGGTGAAACCCCATTTCTACTAAAAATACAAAAATTAGCCGGCCGTGGTGGCGCGCGCCTGTAATCCCAGCTACTCAGGAAGCTGAGGCAGGAGAATCGCTTGAACCTGGGTAGTGGAGGTTGCAGTGAGCTGGGATCGCGCCATTGCGCTCCAGCCTGGGCGACAGAACAAGACTCTCTCTCTAACAAACAAAAAAAGGTTGATGTTATTTGAAGTGCATGTGGCTAAAAAAAACCTTCTGGGTGATTCTGATGCACAATCAACTTTGAGAGCCACTGCTTTATGCAAATGTAAGCAATAGACTCTTTATTAATGTTTCCTCCCGTTTCACCTGATGGCCGCACTGTACTCCACGGCGTTCTGCACTTTGCTTTATTCGCTTAATATATTCTGGAGACCTTTCCATAATTGGACATAGAAAACATCCCCATTATTTTGCGGTATATTCCATTGCTTATCCAGCTTGTCCCCTGACAGACAAACTACACTGTTTCTGATCTTTCACTATTAAAAGCAGTACTGCAATGAAAATCTTTGATCACATCTCCTTTTCTACCTGTGTGGGTATGTCATAGGGTTTTAACATAGCTGTATTTGCCACCAAGGAGATGACATAATCACATGGGCTGACTTTTTGACCCTCTTTTTAACGACCTCTTTTAAATTGCTTTTTTGCACAAATCACAGCCTAAGTGACAGCAGATACGTTTTCTTTCCCTCTAGCATCACCTTCCTCAGGCTGCCTCCCTGGGGCTCACGTGTGTTCTCACAGTGCAGACTGAATTAGAAGAAGCCTCTTCCTTGGGGTAGAGTCATCTTCGTCTCACGAAGGGACTTGAATTTCAGCCCTTCTCACCCTCTTGCTCTACGCTATGGTTTCTTAACTTCTGTGCTACTGACATCCTGGGCCACATAAGTCTTTGCTGTGGGGCTGTCCTATGTATTATAGGATGTTTAGTGGCATCCCTGGCCCCTCCTCACTAGATCCCAGTGGCACCTACACACAAAGATGTCTCCAGATACTGTCAAAGGCCCTGGAGTGTGGGTGATGGGTGAACCAGCCCTGGTTGACAGCCACTGCTCTAGACAGCTGTTCCCGATATTCTGCCTCTGTTCCCCACTGCAACTTTGTCTGGCTCTGGGATGGTCAGGTCATCGGTTGTTCACACAATCACTGGCTCTCTGTCCCTCCCCAGTCAGCTCAGGGCTCATCTTGGCTGGACACAGGGCAACCCAATCCAGTCCTCCCAACCTGAAGGTGCAGCAAGACACCTCTGCAGGGATGGATGGAGCCTGGCCTGGGTTCTCTAAGGTTCTCTCACTGCTATTTGAGCCAGAGGAGCCCTAGAAAGGAGCCACGGGAGAGAGAAGGGTGCTGGTTTGTGCCCCTCTTCTGGGGCTTTAAGATCAGTCCAATGAGGTGAAATGGGAAATGCTCTTCAAAGCATCAGGTATCATCAAAGTTATCCTTCCTCAGCCACTCTATTATGCTCAATTTAATCCATTTGGTTCTTGATTTAGAAACAAAAAGTAGGGCCAGCTGGCACCAGGGCCAGCCATGCTCTGGGCTTCCTTGTTCTGACTCACCAGAATGGAGCATCGGCCAAAGGCTTACGCAGTGAACTGGCCATTCCTTGGTCACTTCCAACTAGTCTAAACTCTTCTCCCAGCTCTCTGATGCTATCCAGCCCAGCTAACCAAATTTCTCATCCTCCCCAAACGTCTCCCTTTGTGCTGAATCTCCTGAATAGTTTATGCCAAATGCCCAGCATAGGGCCTGGCACACAGCAGAGGCCAGTCAGTTTTGGCTCTCTCTATGCTTTGAGTGGCCCCTTCATGCTCGAGGCAGGGGCCTGCCCACCTCTCCAGTCCTTCTTGTCTATCCCAAAGAACCACAAGCCTTCCACTCCTCCCTCCTCTGACCGCGTCAGACAACTCCTGCACACCTGACCTCACTTTTCTGAGCTGGTCGGCTCAACATATAGCACTTAATTCAGCTGGTTTCACTCAGTTTCTGTCTGCCTCTTTATCTAGTCTTCCAAATGCATCAGTACGCTCCTGCTGTTATGGGTCTCCTCCCAGGAATGCCCTCCCAGGCACAGCCCCTGGCGGCTATGCTGTTTCTTGCAGCAAGGGGTAGGTTGCATAGGTAAGCTTTACAGGCAGAATGCCTTTTCTGCTGCAGGCTGGGTCACTGTCTACCTGAATGATTTGGGGTAAGATTTGGTCTCTTTGTGCCGCGTTACCCATCTGTGAAATGAGGACACTGTGACCGCCCCTCAGGGTGCTGAGAAGCAAAGGATGAAGAATGTACAAGGCATGGCACTGACTGTTGTTCCCGGTCCACTGCTGTTTGAGCCAGAGGAGCCCTAGAAAGGAGGGAAAAGCCACGGGAGAAAGAAGGGTGCTAGTTTGTGCCCCTCTTCTGGGGCTTTAAGATCAGTCCAATGAGGTGAAATGGGAAATGCTCTTCAAAGCATCAGGTATCATCAAAGTTATCCTTCCTTAGCCACTCTGTTATGCTCAATTTAATCAATTTGGTTCTTGATTTAGAAACAAAAAGTAGTTTTTGGAGTTCCTTTCTGTCTGGGGTGATGTGAATTGGGATGTGTGAAGCAAATAAAGAGCTGAACACATTACATAAGGAAGAAGGAGGGCGTCTGTGTGGGCTTGCAATCAGTGAGGGCTCCCTGGAGGGGGTGAGGCTCTAGCTGGATCTTGAAGACAGCCAGAATCAGAGAGATGAAGAGGAGGGAGGACAGTCCAGGGGACTGAGGAGATAGATAAGCAATGGGGTGCCAGAGTGCCAAAGCAATGGCAGACTTGCTAATGACCGAGAGAAAGAGATGTCAGTACATGCAGGCATCCCTAAATGGGCTCGCTTCATTCATTAGCTTTAAGGAAGAGCAGTAGAGATCTACAACCAATATTTAGAGGCCCAAAGAGCTCCCAAGGCCACAAAGAAAAACCAGGCCAGTGGGAAATCACCCTGGCTTGTGTGTAGAGTGAGATAGATGGGCATGAAGAACAATTCTGTGTTGGAGAGGAGAGGAGAGAGCCAAGGATCCCTAGCATGGGCTCCTGAGTGAGGGGAGCTCACGGACACCGTAGGCCCTCCCTGTGAGGATAGGAAGGAAATGTGACTTTTCATTTTTCAGCTGATTAGTCAACTCCACAGGAATAAACCAGAGCTCAGAAAAATATGTCCATGACCTGGGCATGATAGCTCACCCCTATAATCCCAGCACTTTGGGAGGCTGAGGTGAGCGGATCTGATGAGGTCAGGAGTTCAAGACCAGCCTGGCTAATATGGTGAAATCCCATTTTACTAAAAATACAACAATTAGGTGGGCATGGTGTCACACGCTGTAGTCCAGCTACTTGGGAGGTTGAGGCAGGAGAATCGCTTGAACCCTGGAGACAGAGGTTAGGGTGAGCTGAGATCGTGCCATTGTACTCCAGCCTGGGTGTTGCAGTGAGACTTTGCCTCAAAAAAAGAAAAAGAAAAAAAGAAAAACAGAAGAAAAGAAAAATATGTCCATGAAGTGATGCCTTGATTGCCTGCTTTGTGAGGTGGGAAGTACTATGCTTATGTCACTGCAAATCAAGCAGCTTGTCAGGGTCCCCAGTTGTTGGGGTAGCAGAGCTTCCCAAAGGCAATGAGGTTAGAGCAGAGAGCCCTGAAACAGACCCCAAGGCTCTGTCCCCACCCCCCAGAAGATACTTTTCTCAAGACCCTGGGGTAGGGGGTGACTTGCAATCTCCTTCCACCCTCTCTGACAGGTCTGCCACACATCAAGAGATTCACTCCTAGCAGGGGACAGGTGGCCTGGTACTTCTCCCTCATCTTGTAAGAAAATATTTATCATTTGGCTTCCCTGGCTCTGAGACCACTCCCCTGCTTTTCTTCTTAAGGGATCATTGTTATCTTGTAGACTTGTAAAATCTTCCTTTTTCCTGTATTCAAATATATCTCTGGAGTTATGCTATGGAGAATGACCCTGCTCTAGTCTCCGAGCTGTCACCATGCCATCTGTGAGGTTAATGACTGAAAGGATGAGAGTGGCCCAACAAAGCTGCCTTCCTGCATCGGGGAGTGAGAGAGCTTGTCAAGAGGCCACAGAGGCTGAGGGGCACTGAGGTCTACTGAGGACACTCCTTTTTGATGAGTTCATGAATATTCAAACATGCAAATGAGACACCATGTCTACAGGCCCCAGAATCTTCAATCTGCTTTTGAGGGTGGCCTGTGGATTTATTTCTGTGTAGAAAATGGTTCTGCAGAGTGGGTCAGCTACTTTCTGTCTGACCCTCTTCATTTAATCACATATTAGTTTCTGAGATTATGACATATAGTACAAGAGATGGGCTTCTTTCTCTCCCTCTTTTTTTGTTCTCTCTCTTTCTTAGCTATTTTATTACAGAAAATCTTGAACCTATGTAAACTTAAAGAGAATAGTATATTGAGCCACCATGGGTTCATTCCCTAGCTTCAACAATTATTAACCCATAGCCAATCTCGTTTCATCTATATCATCACTACTCCCCAGTTTTCAAAATGATTTTGAGGCAAATACCAGATATCATATCATCTGGGGACATTTCAGAAAGTGTC